GTGGTGCACCAGTTTGAGTGCTGGACGGGGACTTGGGAGATCCGGACTCTAGGCCCTGCCCAGCCGCAAAGCTCCCTGGGTGACTCTGGGCCAGTCGTTCCCTCTCAGCTTGGCCTACCTCACAGGGCTGTTGTACTGAGGACAAATTGGAGAGGAGCGCACACACCACCCTGGGCTGCCTGGAGGAAAAGCGGGATAGAAATGCAACAAATAAAGCGATCGATTTGGAAAATACGTCTTTGGAGGCCCGCAGCAGCTCTACCAGGCTTTTGGAAGCAACAGATCCCAACCTGAACGTGAGGCGCCTGCCCCAGCGATGAAACGTGGCCTGTGGGGACGCAGCGACTGCCATCTTTATTTTCTACTTTGTGCCCCTTCTGGGTGGCCTGCGTAGCTCATGGGCACTCGAAGCGTGTCTAGCCGAAGGAAAGCGGAGCACGCGGAAAGCTGCAGAGGCCCCGGTTCCCGCCCTGCATGTCTCTCCCTCCCTCCCTCCCTCCCTCCCTCCCCCTGTCACAATGTCGGATGAGGAAGCCGCCTGTTCCACTGGGATCGCTCCGTGCATGGCTTCCCGTGTGAACCCAGCCCACTTCCCGCAGGACAAACAAGGGCGTGCTCGAACGGCCTGCACAGCCCGGCTCTCACGCCACGCTCTCATCCTTGCAGCAGCCTTCCCCAGACGGCTGCCTTGCCAGGTCCTGGACTACCACTTCCATGCTGGCTGGGAGTGATGGGTGCTGCCAGCCCCGCACATCTGCGAGGCACATGGTTACGGGAGTCTGCCTTTGGATGCTCTCCTCTGTCCTCCAGGCATCGTCTCGGAGTTCACAGAATGTGCAGGGTTCCGTTTCCGAAATCCTGCAGCTGGGACACTGGAGGCAGAGCCCCCACCGTGCAACCTGCCCCCCCCCACAGCCTGCGTCCGCACTCCCTCCACGAATGTGAGTGCCGGGAGCTGGGGTGAGGCCTCGCCTCCAGTGGCCCAAGCCGTGGGCTCCTCCGTGTTGTGGCATGCGAGGCGCGGGCGAGTTTTCCACGGGCCAAGGAGCCAAGGAGGCGCCCCCTCCATGGAAGCGTTTCAACTGCCCCCCACCCCGCAACTCGGCAGTCTGAATGCCGCTGCTGAATGCAGTGGGGCGTTCTAGATCCTTTGGCCTACAGTTCCCACACTCCCTCACCACTGGCTCTGCCGACTGGGGCTGATGGGAGCCGCTGTCAGCCAGACGTTCCCTAGAGCTCCTCCAGGGACTTGCCCACCCTGCTGCCCTGCAGTTTCTCCTCCCTTAAGGCTCACGCATGAGAAGGCAGCCGCTGCCAAAGCTCTGCCGGGCTACTGAACTCGGCGAGGCGGACTGCAAATCGGCAGCGGTGGAGCCCGACCCGGCGCGGATTCACGCGGGAATAAAGCCCCGGGTGCCTGTCGGCCTGGTGTGTTCCGGAAGGGACGGCTTTCAAGCACCGGCTCGAGAGGCTGCGGAGCAGGGGGGGCCGGTGCCTCGAGGGGCGAGTTGCGCAAATCACATCACCGCGTCCCGTGGCGACGCGGTGCAAAGCCGCGCGCGCACAGGCGGGCCGCGGACACGCTCCCGGGCCGCACGCCGGCAGGTCCCTCGCCCTGCGTGGAAATACGGGGCCGCTCGCCCGCGCAACGCCCGCGCAGGCCCGCCTGGGGCAGTCGCGGTCCCAGGGGCGGCTGCCTCGGCGCCGCGCGGCCCCCTGGCGCAGCGCCCGGCGCAGGCTCCGGCCGCCCCTGCCTGGGGGCCGCCCGGCC